CTGAAGCCCCACGATCTGCAGAGAGATGTGTTTTCACATAATAGGATCTTAGACTGTGCTGTTCATGCCTGTTAATGCTGTGTTCACCTGGTGAAGTAGCTTAAAATAGTCTTCCAGCTGGTGTCTTGTAGACTGTTGACTTTTTTCTTTTTTAAAATAAACTTCTTAACTGTGGAATAATTTTAGGTTTATAGAAAAGTTGCCAAGATGGTACAGAGGGTTCCTGAATATCCTTCACTCTGCTTCCGTGCACGGTAACAGCTTGTGAGCGAGCGGTTATCAAAACTAAGAAGCTCGCATTGATGCGGTACCATGAGCCTCACTGTGTTCTAACATTCAGTGCTTATTCCTCCTTCCGCTGGGGTTCTTTTAGGCTCCGGGCCCCAATCTGGGTTGCCCTGTGGCCTTCAGGTATCTCATCTCTTCAGGCCCCTCTGGTCCAGGACAGCTCCTCAACCTCTGCTTCTTTGGGTTATTGAGCAGGTATTTTGTAGGCTGGCCTCCAGTTTGGGCTGCCTGATGCTTTCTCGTGTTTTGGGGAGAAGGCCCCGGAGGTGCAGTGCCCTTTGTCACACCATACCGTGGTGGAGTCTGCTGGCATCTGCTCTATGATGGGACTTCATCCCGTTGCGGGTTTGCTCCTTTGGAAGTGGTCCTTTAGGCTAGCCCCTGCTTGGGGGGACGGTGGGGGTGAACTTCAGCTCCTGGGAGGGATTTCACATTACTGTTGGAATTCTTGTGTAGGGCGGACTGTGTTTATGTAATCACTTGTTTGGACTAATATGGGCTCGTGTATTAGTTTTATACTTTGGGTGATAACCTAGTATGTTCTTTATTTTGTTGCATAAATTATTCTAGCTTTGGCCATTGGGAGTCTCTTGGGGTGGGGGGGTTTCCTGTGTCCTGACACACCCCTCCTTCGTTTTGTGAGCACCTCCTTCCTTTCTGGCACTACAGAGACATGCCCTAGGGCTGTCTTGGATTTCCCTGCCCTGGCATCACCCATTTTTCTCAAGGGCCCTGGTTCCATTTCGTGGAGAACGGAATTTAGAAACCACATCAGAGCGCAGGTGTTCTCACTCCTGGGGTGTCCCTGCTTTTCAGCTGCCTGTCCACAGCGGGCAGGTGTGTGTGTTCACACGTCACCTCTGATGATTTCTGTGCCTGTCAGTTCATAGGACGTCTCCATGGCTAAGCTGGCACCATAGGGTCGTGCCAGCCTCCTCCTTTTGCCCATGTGTAACCCCGTTGTCTGACGGTGAGACACCTGGCTCGTCCACCATTCATGATGTGGTCTCAGCGCAGTCACCTGCACCCCTGTACCCTCGAGATACACATTACCAGGAGAGGTCAGCATCTGTGTGGTGCCTGTCCTCAGAAATCTGACCTTCCATTCAAAACATTGTTCTCCAAAGTAACCTAGGGCAGCAGCCCCCACCCCACTCAGAGAGGTCATTTCAGACTTTTCCAGTACAATTCTGTACCTTAGCCAGTCTGCACTCATTCCTGGCCCCCAGATGTCCCGGCTGATTTGTTTTTAATTTGCATACGTTAAAGTTCATTCTCCATGTGAGAGGTGTAGTTGTATGAGCTTGGACAGTGCATAACGTCATGTGTGTCCACCACCTAGATCCCCAGCTCTGAACTCTGGCCTCAGGGTTTTGTGGTACCGGACCACCATGCGTCCATTACCCGCCCGCCGGGGGAGGATCGTGTCTCTGTTACCTTATGGTTTTAAGGCCATGTTGCCTTTCCTCAGGTAAAGGTGGGAGAGAATACCAGAAATTTGGAAGTTGAAGGAAACTTAAAGACCCAGGAATTGTACATTCCTGGCTGGGCAGGTGGGCGTCAAGCCAGAACTGGGACCTAGGCGTTCTGGGTCTGTCCCCTTTGCCGGCCCTCAGGGTGTCTGAGGTGGGAAAGATGAGCAAGACAGGGGCACAGGTCAGCCTACCTTGACTCGAGCCTTGAAGTCCATGCTCACAGGCTTGATTCCTCCATCTTTTGTTTTAGGACATTAATTCTAGTGGGCAGCTATTTTGAGGGAGGATTAAGGTATTGTTAATCATTTGCAAATTAGTGTTGTAGTGAATTAATAAGAGCTCATTCACTTTGCTTTTTAATGCCAACTGAAACCAGATGTTCTGAAAGAACAGGGAACTGTGCTTGGGATGGCGGAAGGAGGCGATGGTGGAGAGCCCCAAGTCTGCCCTCTGCGAGGCCCTCTGCCTGCTGCCTTCTGCTGGATAGAGCAGATCTCACCCATCTGTGCAGGTAGCTTAAAGACTCCTGGGTCCCTGTAATGGGGCCCCCAGTGTTCTTCTTTCTTTTGGCGTTTACCATGTGCCAGATGCCAGGCTAGACCCCTGGTTGGCAGATAAGTAAGTGCATGCCTTGTCATTCTTGGGGAAGGAAGAGCGTCTGTCCCCACTGTGGTGACACTGAGGTGGCCAGTGTGGGTGTGGCTTATCCTAGTGCTGCTTCAGCGTTTTTACTCATTTTTTTTTTCCTCTAAGGAAGTTTTCCGTTAAGCTTAATTGCACCATCCTGACACAGCTGTTGGCGTTTGCTGTGTCCCTTCCAGTGTTTCCCCACCGACGCAGCTTCGTGCTGCTCTGTGTACAGGGGATTGATTCTGAACAGTTTGCTTAGTGTTTTGTCGAAAGCTTTTCCCTGTGTTTCTGCACAACACTGCGGGCTGGTGTGTTTGCCCAGCTCCTGGATGTTAGCTTACGTTCTCCCATGGGAGCCTGCTGTGACTCTCTGACGCTCCCAGCGTTTGTTACCGGTGCTGGTTTCTTAGGCTCCGTTTCCTGGAGTGAGATCACTGGGTCAAAGGGCACGAACGTTTTAAGGTTCTGGAAGTATAGTGCTGATTGTTGTAGGAGTCTGAAGCCTTCCTTGAGAACTGCCAGATGAGACCCCATCCCTGCTTCCTCTGAGTTTACCACTGCCACCTCTCCGCTGTGCTCACCTCGGGCCAGTGCACCTGCCCTCCCCGCTGGGGCCCTCGTGGGCCCTCATGCCGGGCTGGCTCCCCTCCCCTTCCCGGGTGGCTGTGAGGCGTGCAGCCTGGTGACTGGCACAGGGGCGCTCAGGAAGGATGATGGCCCTGGCCGCAGCGTCCTGGGAGAGTGGTTTAATAAACTCTCTCACAAAACATACATACTGGGTGTGCGGTGTGCAGCTCCTGCACTTAATTCTGCCGCATCTCCACAGGATGCCTGGCTCTGGAGCAAGTTGCCACGCTGCCTTTTCTGGGACTCCTTGGAGGGGTGGGAGGTGAGGGGTGGTCACTCACAGTCTCCTTTCATTTCAGGGCTTCTGGGGAGATGGTGCAGATCTATGATTAAAGTTGTCTGGACGACAGCCAGGGTTTGCTGTGATTTAGAAATGCTTTAAGATGTTGCTGTCGTTATAAAGTTGTGCATCCTGAAGTGGGGGGAGGCGGGGGCTTGGGCTGGGAGAGGTGGAGCTGGCCTCATTTCAGAATTTTCTTAAACTGTACTTCTCTATTTTCGTGAAGGTACAGTGTTTTTAGATAAGGGATGAAAGTGCATTTTTTTATTCTAAGAAATAGAAATAAATTGACTAAATGTTTATATTTTTCTTATGAAGTAAAATGTTTTTATGAAAGTATTAAGAGAATGCAGGGAATTACTTTTCCTTTAAATAGCATCTTTAAAGGGTTTGCCTTGCTTGCTTCTAAGTGAGATTTCATTATAACTAACTTTCCAACAAAATACGGTGATGACTTGTCCTGTGAAATTCAGTGAGAAAGGGGAGCAACTCCACAGTGTGCCCAGCCAGTGACCCCTGAACACTCATACTTACTGTTTGGATGTGATTTAGTTTTGATTTTAATTCAATATAGCCACACATTGGACAGTATAGTTCTAGATGCTTACATTTAAGGCACATGTTTTTCAACTTTAGGGCTCTTTGGGGAGTTAACTTTCCACCGTTAGCTGAGTCACTTGATTTAATTTAAAAATCTGTTTCTCAAATACCTTATCTATTGTAGAAACAAAAAATCTACCAGATTTCAGTTGGTTGAATGAATTTGGGAAATAGGAGAGGAATTGATTGTCTTTGACTTTATATATTTTAGGAAAGTGTTTTTCAAATGCCTTTTGGTATGTTTTGGGAGTAGAAAGATTCCTAGAGCCTTTTACTTTTCCACGGGTGTTGCCCGCTGCCCGCCCTTAGGATGCTACGGTCCCCGAGATACCTGGGTCCCCGGGATACCTGCGGTGGACCGCTCACCCTGGGAGAGTCGGGACGAGGAAAGAAGCTGCGGCTTTGTAGTCTTCATCACTAAGCAGGCAGTGAGTTTCAGCCTGGTCCCCATGGTGGTCCTGAGCCTGGGACTACACCACCAGGTCTGATCCTTTGCATAGGATAACCATGTGACAGTGTCATTTGGGGTAAACGTTCACCTTTACTACTGTCCCCATATGCTGAGTACTTTAGCGGGTATAATAACTAGTAGATCTGTGAGTGAAGGGTAACGCTTGGCTTTTCTGTTAAAAAAAAAAATCCTTTTTATTATTTTATCTATTTGACATATTTCTTTTTTTTTAAAGATTTTATTTATTTATTTGAGAGAGAGAGAATGGGAGACAGAGAGCACGAGAGGGAAGAGGGCCAGAGGGAGAAGCAGACTCCCCGCCGAGCAGGGAGCCCGATGTGGGACTCGACCCCGGGACTCCAGGATCATGACCTGAGCCGAAGGCAGTCGCTTAACCGACTGAGCCACCCAGGCGCCCCCTATTTGACATATTTCTACTTTGAAGAAATTATTTGGTTTTACCGAGGTGGCTGGCTTCTGTCTCCTGCTTTGGCACTTGTTTATTTTCCTCTTCTATCCCTGTTTCTTCTCCCTCGTTTCCCTCAGAATGCTGTTACGGGGATCAACTGGCATTGTGTATTTTTAAGCAGGACGATCTTTGAATTTGACAAGAAATGGGCAGTTAATTTGCAGTCTGGGTGAGATTATAGTCACTGACCAGGAGATGGCTCCCACAGAGCTTGCTCCCACAGAACTTGCTCCCGGGAGCGGTGTGCCACACCCTGTTTATGGTTCTTTGATTCTTTGGCTCTTTTGGGTGTTTCTGTATCTGGGATCTGCAGGTTCTGCACAGAGGCATCTGCATGGGCGCTGTGGCGGGTGGGCTCTGACCACATGCTCCTCTCGCTTGCACAGGTGGCCCAGAGCATCGAGGACCACCATCAGGAAGTGATCGGTTTCTGCAGAGAAAACGGCTTCCACGGCTTGGTCGCCTACGACTCCGACTACGCGCTGTGCAACATCCCTTACTACTTCAGTGCCCACGCCCTCAAACTGAGCCGGAATGGGAAAAGTCTCACCACGAGCCAGTATCTGATGCACGAGGTCGCCAAGCAGCTGGACCTGAACCCAAACCGCTTCCCTATCTTTGCTGCTCTGTTAGGTAGGTGGGCAGTGTGAAAACTGCTTCATTTGATAGGGTTCTACGCTGGGAACACACTGATATTTTTAAATGTCAGTGCTGGAATGTTGTGGAGTGTGCCCCTCCTCAGTGGTGTTCCTTACTCAGTATTATTTTTTGGTGTTGCTGATAATGTGCTTCTTTTGTTCATAAGTATTTGTTTATGTGTTGTTCTTTCCGGGGCGGAAAACTAATTTTGTGAATAAATTCACTAATACTTTGGGGAAAATGATATTTTAAAATCACAAATGTTAAGCACATCCTCACTATGAAAATTATAGACATTTAACCCTTTGTCATAAGTCGTGTTTGTTAGAGAAGAAAATGTGTTGTGAACTCAGCTCTGTCATGGGTTCTTGTGTGTTGGGGACACTCACTGCTTTGGAAAGAAAAACAACAAACATAAGCTACCTTAGCTCACCTCCAATACCTGCATTTTAGGTGTCCAGAAACTCCCTCGGAGGAATTCCTCATGCTGGGTACCTAGAAAAGATGAAATCTTGTTTTGATTGAAGTTTTATATATTAATTCGTTTCATGTAAAAACGACTTTCCAATAGTTATATATTCATCTATCACTTTTGTTTGCATTTTGCAGTTTTTTCTTTTCTGTTCATTCCTGGTCTTGTGCTTGTAGTGTGCACATTTAAAGTTGCTTGGACACCCAGCTCTAGTGGCTGGTTTTGTAAGAACTGTGCCCACAGTGTGAATGGGCGTTCTGCAAGCTGGGCCCTCCTGGGATCACAGCCCAGGGGCCACAGTGGCGGGTGGGGGACTGCTAGGGACACACAGGCCCTGTTTGAACGCTCCGTGGTCTCCAGATAAGTGAGATCTTACTGTGTTCTCCATTTGTCTTCTTTGAAATGTGTACGATGGCAGTCATATTGTGGGCTGTGTTTAGATGTTTCTACTTATCAGATTTTATAAACATTCCAAAAAGTTTTACACAGTTAGAAATTACACTGAGGGAGCCACAATTTTTTTTGTGTTGTATTTGGTGATAGCATTTCAAACGGTGTAACCACCAATCAGTCAACAGTTCTGATTTTGCAAATTATTCTTGCTTGAATCTTACCTTAACTATGTGTTGTTAATTACGTGGCTGTTTTCTGTCCATTTGGCCTTGGGATTTGGAGAATTAAAACCAATTTTCTAAATATACTTTCATATTTTCAAATATTAAAATATAGAAGGTATTTTCTCTGATGTTAAAAGTGATTATGTAAATGGGGATATTATGAAAAGTTTCCTATTTACTTAAATGTTACACAAAATGACTTCGGCATATTAATTGACCTTAAATGAACTAGAAAATTGTATGCTTGCAGAATATCGGGATTCCCTAGCTAATTTGAGATATGGAGGATATTTGTTTATTGTATTTGAGAAACGTTGAATATATTTCTTAGGAGAGAGTGCAAACTCTGTACTCTTCTAGCTAAATTATCCTGTGAAGTCTTAAAATGAGTGAAAAACAGTAGTTACATTTTGAATAATAATAAATTTAGGGCTTGGAATTTCTTTAAAAATTTTAGGCAAGTTACAGGTAAAGTCTTAATTGGGCAAGCATTTTTATTTTAGATTTTGTGTAAAAGTTTCAGTGTCCTCAAATGAGAAAGATTATTTTTCTTTTCCTTTTCCTTTTTGTAATGGGCAGTGTAGTTATATGAGTTATTTTGTTTTAGAGGGGTTGGGTAGAATATTCAGTTAAGTATGTGACCCAGATTTTAGTAGACTATTACTGATGTTGGAATTGGCCTCATATTTTTTCAGATAGAAGCTTCAAAAAAAATCTAAGATGCCTGATACTTCACAGTAAAGTTCTGTGCACCTGTGAACCCAGGAAGGCAGTGCAAAGCTCAGTAAGACAGTGAGGACGTAACTTTGCTCCTCTGGAATTCATGACAGTTCAGCGCTCATGTGTCGAGTACTTTCATGTTTAGAGTATTAAGATTAATTAGTTACTAAGAACTCACCTTCTTTTTTTTTTTAAGATTTTATTTATTTGAGAGTGAGAGAGCACGCACAAGCAAGGGTGGTTAGGGGCATTGGGAGAGGGAGAAGCAGACTCCCCCTGAGCAGGGAGCCCGATGCGGGGCTCGATCCCAGGACCCTGGGACCATGACCTGAGCTGAAGGCAGACCCTTCACCAACTGAGCCACCCAGGCGCACCGAACTCACCTTGTTTTGCTTTCTCTTAGTAGTTAATTAATGAATCTGCCTTCTCAGTGGGGAGGGGACTAAATCATGATAAAAGAATCACAGAATTATTCAGGAACTTGACACTTTCAAATTGCATCGAGAGAACTAACACACTAATGATGTTGGTATGTTGGCATCCAAGTGCTACAGTGAAGGGAGAGTGTTCCCCAAAATATAGTTTCTCAACCGAATGCAGTTTTTATTTTTGATGCAGTCCTGGTGATAAGGCGTCCAGCCGAGTGGCATTCCTGGTGCTGGTGTGGTCTGTGCTTCGTCATCTGTGGGTGATGGTGGAAGTGATGGGAGGAGGTATGACCATGTCACAAGTCACATAGCCTTGCTTAGAGAGATTCTGGAAGTGCGCGGTCTGCCTCTGCTGTGGAACCTGGAGTTTGAAGCCTAGGGTCTTGTGAGCAAATGAAACCCGATATCCCAGCATTGTCAGACTGACCTTAACACTGTCGAGCGAAGTCACTTCAGTTTTACGCAGTTTGTTCAGTTGGAATGCTGTTGCAACTGTCCTGGAAACTCATGTCGTGCTGAGGCAGCTGCAAGAGGTCTGCCTGCTGTCTGTGGCTTTATATGAAAAGATAAAGAAGTATTTTCAGTGTTTGTGTGGAAGTTTTATGTGGTATGTCAAAGGAGACGGTCCTAAGTTACCGCAGCATCTAAAATGAAGCCCCTAGGGACCTGCGGATGGTGGCGTGCAGTGTCAGTGACGCGCTCTTTCTCACTGTGCCATGTCTGTGTTGCAGGGAATCACATCCTGCCCGACGAAGACCTGGCCTCCTTCCACTGGAGCTTACTGGGCCCAGAGCATCCACTAGCCTCGCTGAAGGTACAAGTGCACTTCGTCTCCAACACTGGTGACCGTCGGCTGTTCAGTTTGCTGCTGCTGTAATAATGTGAATGATGTCCCATTATTATAGAAGGAGATAGGCTGCAGAGCGAGCGATACCACGCCTCCCCTAACTTCACCATCAGCACTGCCTTGGCAAACCCACAAACCTGCCTTATCTTGTTCCCAACACTTATGCTTTAGGGAGATAAATGAATGTCCTTAAACGTCTCCTTAGAGGAATTCATGCTGTGTTCCTAGGTAGGTGGAAATCTTTTAGCTGAAGATTTTTATATCGTTTTACAAATCCTGATATTTTCAGTAGGTAATAACAGTCAGCTGTTATTTGGATCATGTCTTAGCATAGTTTGATAAATTTCATAGTGTCCTGTAATTTTCTAAAATTAAGAAAGTCTAATTAATAATTAAAGTTTTAGTGTTTGGGTGATGGAGGGGACCCAACCAAGTTCATTAGAGAAATGTTGCCTTTATACTGTTTTATTAACACTTTATATTTTTATCTTTCTTGCCTTCCTGTTGTGAAAGTGAGGAGCGTCGGAAACACGCACGGTTTTCTAAAATGGGTGGGCCGTGGGGACGCCTGCTGGGCATGTACTGGCCAGCAGCCTCCTGGGACTCCGAGTCCCCTTTGCCGTGACCACAGTCGCTCTTGGGGGGCGGGTGGGAAGTCTGTCGGGCAGCCTGGGCCTTGGTTCCTGTAGCGAAGGGGCTGCTCGGGATGGTTCCCAGGGATACTTCTGTGAAATTCTGTCTCCTGTCAGATTGACCCTCCCGCTGTAAACCGTCTCCTGTGGTGGTTAGTTTCAAAGCGGATTTTGTGTGTAACTTGGAGTGAACTTTGGAGAAACCGGATCATTCAAGCACATCTCTTTCCTGCCTCTTTCCTCTGGCTCCTTGCCCCCTGGGCCCCTCCCTTCCGGCGTGCTGGCTGTTGGGATGCTTTCCTTGTCCTTCTGACAGTTCTTGGGCCCAGGGTTTTCAACTTCTCCTCTTGTTAGAAGCTGCTTGTTTTCTTCATCCTTGAAGGAGAGAAGCTTTCTTCCTGCTGTTGGCCATAGTGTCATTCCTGTGTCCCTGTGGATGAAAGTGCTGCAGTTTTTGGTCCTGGTGGTCCACTGCTAATGTCCAGCCTGAAGGCAGGTGCACTTGCATGAGGTGTTGTGCTCATCAGGTTTGCCTGGCAGTGAGCTTTTGTAGGTGGGGACGAAGGGAAGGCTGGCTTCTTACAAGGGTCAGGCAGTTTTGGGTAGCAGCGGAGAGGCTCCCGAGACCCCAGACCACACGTGCATTTCAGCCGAGCTGGCCTTGGTCACGCGTCAGACATTAGACAGCAGCACTGTTTGTGGGATTAGTGGGGGACCAGCTCAGTCTCCTGGCAGGTCGCTAATATCGTTAGCATGTGCTTTTCCTAACTTTGTTTAAGAAAAATATTAAGTACATGAAAAGTTGAAATAGACAATCTCCATCCACGTATCTACTTGGTTCTACAGTTAACATTTTGCCATAAAGTATATTTATATCTATCTTTGTTTTTTAACTCCACTATTTGGAAGTTAGTTGCAGACATTCTAACACTTCGCCTGTGAAAACTTCAGTTTATATCACGACCCCCTAAAAATAAGGCTAATCTCTTCCTTACTCATATTACTATTAGCACACCCAACTACATCAGCAGTAGTCCCTAGTGTTCTGTAAGGTCAAGTTCATGTTCACATTTTTCACTTGTTCCTGCAAGTCATTTATGGTGTGTGTGTGTGTGTGTGTGTTTTAAGTCAGGATCCAGTCGGGTTTTTTGTATTATCATCGTGTGTATTGTACATATCAGCTGGGGGTTTTTGTGGGTATGATGGAGAAGCAATCTGCAGTAATTTTTCAGTGACTTGCTAAGTTCTGGGTATTTCAGAGTCATGGTCTAAAATGCAAGCGCATTTCGCTTTGAGTTCAGATATGGCACAGTGTTTATGTTTTCGCCTTTTATGTACCCATCCTGTGTGCAGCATCATTTCGGCATCGTGGCAGATGTGGGGAAGTTGGACATGATGGTGTCCTTTCTCATGAACATCCCTGCTGTGTCACACTGTTCCTATCCTCTCTGCTTCACCCCGCTCGTAAAAGTAACCACATCTTTTGAAAATTTGGTTAGTTGTGTGTGACACTTTCTTGTGATTTTTAACAGTCTGTGGTATACACAGCTTTCATAGGCATCTGATTCATGTCCCCAAGTGCAGGTGCTCCTCGCCCTTTCTTGTCCTACTGTATTGCGTTTTGCCAAAGTCACTCCCACTGGATTGCTGTTTCCAGAAGGTGGGTGTTCTGTGAACTCCTTACGTGATGAGCCCAGAGCACCCCTTGCCATGGAGGGGTCTTCACCCTCTCCGCAGCGACCTTCTTGCCCACAGCTCCAGGTGGGTACAGAACAGTGCAGACAGCCAGATCAAGGGGTGATACCTGCAGACAGTGGGCAGGGAGGGGAACAGACTCTGTGTGCCGTACTGTTAATCAGGGTTGTGCTCACTGGGGTGGGAGGGCAGTGCTGGACACACTGAGAACCTAAACTCTCACAAGGTGGTAGAAGAGAGGAGGTGAGGCAGCTGGGCAGGTGTTGAGCTTTTTTAGTTCTCAGTTTCTATGGGAAGAGGTGCTGGTAAGGTGGCATCAGATGTCTTAGGCTTGATTCAGAAGTAAAGAATATTTCATTTGTGTTCAGGACAGCAGGCAGCCATCTTATGTGATGGAAAATTCTAGAACTAGGGGCGGGGCCTTTGGGGCATGGGGTGGTCAGTCCTGGTGGGAACACCTCCTGGCCATGAGCACATGCTGAGTGAGCTCCGTTTTTAAATGTGCTTTTTGGGTTTTAATTGCTCTATGATTTTGAGTCCTAGTGAGTGGTAGAATTTTTATTTTGGATAGGCATTTAGTTTTAATTTTGAAAATGTTTTTAAGTTGGACCATTAGTTACAGGTCTTTGTATTCATTTTAATGGTTGTCCTAAACTTCATGTTCAGTTTCACGCATTTGGAGTTTTTATCCTGATCAGTGGTTCTGACCGCCAGGCATCTCCTGTCACGGAGCCCCTCGTCCACCTGTTGTTTGGGCATGCCCCCTTGCAGGTCTGGGCCGGTCTAGGTCACTCCCTAGACCTCCTGGGGCACACGCATGCACACCTGGTGCCCCACCAGCGACCTCTGCATAGTAAGCGCTATAAGGCGGCTAAACCAGAGACATTTCCCTTCTTGACACGAGCCATGTGTGGGACCAGAAAGATAAGCGATAAAGCTGGGATTTGCCGGGCATTTACTCCAAAAGTGCCACTTGCTTAGAAAGCTTGTTTTTCTTTTTATAGCAGCTTTATTGAGTTATAATTCACATGTCATAAAATCTATCTTTTCAGAATATACAGTTCAGGGATTTTTAGCTTTCACAGAGTTGTGCAACCATCACCACTATCTAATTTTGGAATATTTTCATCACCCCAAAAGAAACCCAGTGCTTACTGGCAGTCATTCCCCGCTTTTCCGCCTCCCTGCCCATGGCAACCACTGATCTGCATCTGTCTCTGGACACTTGATATAAGTAGACTTACGTGTCCTTTTGTGTCTGGTTTCTCTCACGAGCGTAACTGCCTGGTTCATCCGTGCAGGAGCAGCTGTTGGTGCTCACTCCTGTTTCTGGCAGGAGGACACTGTTTCCCTGGGGGTGGACTCAGCTGGTGGACATTCAGGTTGTGCCTACCATTTGGCCGCCGTGAGCATCTGTGCCCACGTCTGTATGGACTTTCCTTTCTGTCAGGCATGTGCCTGGGGCCAGAGTTGCTGGTCCTGCTCGCCTTCTCGTGGAGCCACCGGAAGGCTTCCTGCGGGGGCTGCCCCGCTCACACTGCCAGCAGCAAGTGTGTGAGGGTTCTGATTTCCTCACATCCCATGCCAACACTTGCTATTGTCTGTTGTATTTTCAGCCATCCCAGTGGGTGTGAGGGGGTTTTGATTTGCATTTCTCTGATGAGTAATGGTGTTGAGCATCTTTTCTTGTGCTCGCTGACCATTCATTTATCTTCTTTGGAGAAATGTCTGTTCAAGTGCTTTGTCCATTTTTAAATTGGGTAATTTGTCTTTTTATTATTGAGTTGTAAGGGCTTTTTTTAGTTTTTGTGTTTTTGTTTATTTTGTATTCTGGATTCTCTTAGCAGACACATGATCTGCAGATACTCTCCCCCATTCTGTGGGCTGTGCTTTTCCTTTCCTGATGTGGCTCTTTGGTAACTCTGAAGAGTTAGGCCATCTGAATACCACCTCTCACTCTCCTAGTGGCTGTACTCTAGTCACTTTTTGTCACTTGGGAAAGCCTTGGGGACCTTGCCAGTCTCCCCTTTACCTTCCAGAGCCCTTGTGAGCTCTGTGCACTGGGGCTCCCAGACAGCTTGGCTGCACGTCCTTCACCACCTGTCAGGTCTGCAGTGGCCCTGCTGGACCATGGCCTCCTGGGCCCAGCGGCCTGCCCTGGGTCTCCTCTCAGAAAAGCTCCATCTCCCCTCGTAAACTTCACTATCCCTTACCCTCTGTCACCAGTGCCACCTTCTGCTGGGGCTTGTTCTCAGTGTGAACACTTGCTGCTGGGCCTCTGTGGGCTCTCTGCTCGCCTCCTTTCATACCGCCCTTCCGGGGCACCCTCTCAAGCTGGTTATGCCAGCACCACCTGCTTTGGGCTCCCCATCAACCCCCTGCCCAGCAAACTCTCCTCCCTCGAAGGTGCTGTACTGTCTCTTTTTGAGGACTGCCCGCCTGAGCAGGTGGTGAATTTATAGTTGTGGTTGAAGAAGGACCTAAACAAGTGGAAAGAAACACTGTGTTCATGGAATAAAAGACTTACTTAGATTTTATTACCTCCCTATCAGAATCCTAGCGAATTTTTTTTTTGAAGTAATTGAAAACTGATTTTAAAATTCATGTGGAACTGCAAAGGACCTAGAATAACAACAAAAA